AAATACAAAAAAAAAATAAAAAAGTAAAAAATTAATAAGACGTAAAATGTAAAAAACAAGAAAGAGTAAGCAAAAGAAGGAAGAGTATACTTAGCAAAAGAATAAAAGAAGCAAAAAAAAACATAAAAATTCAAAAAATAGTAAGTCAAAGAAAATAAAAGTACAACAAACAAGGAAAATTTGAAACAAAATGTAGAAGAAAATTTAAACAAACAAAAACTAGAAGAAATTTAAAATATCAAAAATGAAACATAAAAATATCAAAACTGAAGTAGAAGATAAAAAAAAGTAGAAGATGTGTGTCCAAAAAAGGAGTCTAAAGGATGGGAAAAATAAAAAACATATTATTTTTTCAGTGAAACTATTTTATTTTTTTATTTTTCTATTACAGTCAGCAAATTTCTTAAGCTTCCTCTCAATTATTTTTTCAAAATTTCTCAACAATTCCTTGTCTGTTTTGCACTGAAGAGTTCCACAATTCTTCTCATTCATCTTGTTTCGAATATAACACCAAAGATTTTTCAACGAATTCTCCTTTTTAATTTTCTTGGTCAAAATAAAATCCAAAAGTTGTTTATCTTCATCGTCTAAAATTTTCCTATCCTCCTCATTGATCACAATACATTTGTCTTTGTGAAAAACGGATTTTGATTGCAATTTTTTGAAGATAGAATTTTTGTTCCATTTTTCCAGAAATTTCTCGAGTCGGACCACAAAACCGGCCCTTTTGACTTGCTCAAAAACCTTGACATTCTTATTAATATCGGACATGTCGGTGACGAGCAACCCAAGAAGAAGATTGTTCAAAATAACGGCCATTAATAACACGAAAAGAGTTAAAACGATTTTTGAGAAACCTTCTTTGAATTGAAAATTGTGAAAATGGGTTGTGGAATTATTTTCTTCCTTCCATGGGGTTTTCATGTAGTCCAGATTTCCGGTGAAGAGAATCACAGTTTCGAAAAGTTTGTGTGATAAATTTTCCCCAACATTTTCATCTGATTTTGAGAATAAAATGAAGAAGCAAATCGCAAAAGCCACAAACTGGACAATGTAGAAAAAAAGATACTTGAGGTAGAAAATGGTACTTTTCAAAATAATTATGTATTTGGCACAGAAAGGGACTTGTTCTAGCATTAGGAAAAAAACCAAATTTGAAGTCAAAACGGCCAAAACAGCCCACACATCGTGGTACCAAACAAACACCCAAAAAGCCACCACAGCGAAAAAAATCTCAACCCAATTTTGAAACTCCTCAAAATAGCTCCATTTATTGGTCACCATTTGCAAAATTTCTTTCAAAATGAACACAAAAAGGAAAAACAGCCCCAAAATTTGGTACCAAACACACCCATGGTCACCCATCACAAACCCGTACACAACAAACCAATTCAAAAAAACATAAAATGAGGAATGGAACAACAAATTGAGGTAGAAGTACCAACACAAGTGGTTCCACTTCCTCAAAATCAGAATTTTAAAAACAGGGTGATCGAAACAAGTTTGCAAATTTTTGGGGAAATTTTCCAAAATTTTTTCACCAAAATTTGAGTAATTTATTTCTACATTTGAGTCGTTTTTGAGGACGCAATCATTGAGGTGGGTGCGGAGCACCTCGGCATCAATCCCCGCCAAAAACTCCCGATCCTCAACTAACGAACCCTCAAACCTCAAAATCCTCAAAATATTTGCCCGGTTGATGAGTCTAGTCTTGTTTTTGAGGGCCGAGATTACTTGATATGTCACATTCTTTTCTTCGAGTAACCGATCCAAAACAATGGAAATGGTATGATTGAGGTGCTCGGATTTCGCCTCGAGTTTTTTGAGGCTGGTACAAATTCTAGTGATTTTAACCGGCGTGAGTTGGTAGTTGTGTAAAATGAGGGCGACTAGAGGGAAATAACCTTTGATAATTGCCACTTCTAGTACTGACAACCCGCCCTCAAATTTCCTCAAAGTTGAGTCAACATCAGCGCCCTCTTCTAGTAAATATTGAACCGATTTTGCCATTCCTTTGGTACAAAAAACCTCAACTAGGTAACTTGATGTTGGTTCCTCACTCTCCTCCTCAAAATCACCCCGACTTTGCTTTGAGTAAATCAAACCACGCCTCAAACAGTACTGAAGCATGGTACAACTTGAATTTTCCTCAATTTCTCCGTCTAAAACATTGACAAAATTTCGGATTTTCTCTTTGAGGAACTTTTCCTCATCCCCACTTTTCAAAATTTCGAACAATCGTACGCCTGGTTCACTCCCGATGGGAGGAGGGAGGGGGGTTTTCCTCCCTTGGAGGAATTCTCGGGGGGTTTTCCCACTCACTGGATCTCGACTCGAATCCAAATCGGGATTTTCCCCCAATAGAAGTTCGACAATTTCCCCAAATTTGCGTTTGAGGGCGATTAAAATGGGGGATTCCCCCCAGAAATCGCAATGATTGAGGTTTATCCCCTTCGTGATCAAAATTGAGGCACATTTTATCATTTCCTGAGTCTCTCTATTGATAATTCGGGTTGCGTATAAGTCATGGCCGCCTTGACACGAAACATGGAACGTTTTTGAGGTTTTTGAGTGGGCGAGGAGGACGTGGAGGGCGTTTTCGGAGAGAAATGTAAGCGAGTTTATGTTGGCACCGGATTGGAGGATCGTTTCAAGAGTTGAGGGATTTGAGGTTGAGGCGATGTAGTGGAGGGGTTCCCAGCCGTACCATGACGGGTCCGCAAAGTCGACTTTTAAGCCCTTTTTGAGGAGGTTTTCGAGGGTTTTGGCAGTAAGTACGTTGGCTGAAACTTGTTTGGCCAAGAGTTTTTCAGGTGATTCGGTTTCAGGATGTTGTTGATCTGAGGATACGTCATTTAGAGGAATATACTGAAATAAAGAAGTAGGAAAAAAATAAAAAAAAGGAAAAATATAATTAATCTCGCAAAAATTTATCACAAAATGCACTTTTCACACATTTATTATTATTATTATTATTATCATTATTTTATTTATTATTATTATTAATTAAAAAATGAGAGAAAAACAGTGTTTTAAGCTCTCGTAAGAATTAATTTTTGTTTGCCACCATCAGACACAAATTTACGCCGACATTACTAGTTTCCATGGTAACCATGCAAAAATTTGATCATTTCCATGGTAACCAATGTCAAATGGTTGTTACAAAATAAATTTGTATACTCCGTTGGCTGAGATAATATAATTAAAAAAAAACAAGCAAGCCTGGAAGGAAAAGAAAAAAATAAAATATATTTAAAAAAAATGTAAAATAAAATGTGGACAAAAAAAAATAAAAAATACAAGAAACGAGAAATAAATGATTAAAAAAATAAGAAATAAAAGTAGGAGTGGTAAAAACAAAAGAACACTATAGAGGGTGAATTTGTGGTGCGAATTTTGGGACACGCTGTATATTCAGAAAATTTAAACAGACAAAAAGTCAAAATAAAATAATTTGCAAAAAACAACAAATTTTGAGTTTATCTGAGAAATATTTCGTAATTTGCACTATTTAAAGTATGATAAACTGACCAACCCATTCTAAGAATACAATCAAGTGGTCTTTTCCTTGTACATAATCAAATTCGAAGAACATTTAAACTCAATTTTTATCACTTATTTATAAAATCTAGTTAACTTACTTCGTCATCCTGTGGCATTTTTTTTTCACTCAAAAACACAAAAATAACTCAAAAAACCTCAAAAAACACGTTTCGATTGAGGAGAAATTCCAACGCGAAGCTAGTCCGAGAACAAACTAATAATAAATCAAGGTCAACGCTTGTGCTTATCATAATATTTATACCAAGTGTCTATAAAAGAACGTATATCCGAGGGTGCTATGTAATTTGCTTTAGCTTAGAATTTTACTACACGTTTAAATGAAGGATTTTGGTGAGGAAAATAATGCAAAAAAAAATAGTATTATTATTTGAAAAAAAAATAAAAACTAGATAAAATTGAGTGAAACTAATGAAATATTTATTATACAGGGTGTTATATATAATAAAGACCCTAACCGATTTTCAGACGCAACCCAAAATACATTCTCAGAGACCACTATCCGTTAATTATTGTTCTGTGTTTAATATTTTTAAAGATATAAACATTTAACACTGTCAAATATAGTTAATCAACAATTATTTTGATTTGAGTTTAATAAACTAAGTTTTTTAAACGTACAAAAAGCAAACTTCACAGTGAGAATGTATTTTGGGTTGCGTCTAAAAATTAGTCAGGGTTTTAATTATAAGTGATTCAGCCAATATTAAATTAACCGCAATTGTTTATTACTTAATATTTAAATCAAACAAAAACAAAAAAACATTGTATTTAATTAAATGTGTGAAGAATCCTCTAGATAAAATAGGCAACCAACTTCACTTAGTTTTAGGTTGGCAGCAAATTGACAATTAAAAAACCCACGTCCTCTGAAAACCCAAATAACAAAGTTGAAACGGTAAAATTGTAATTTATTTATGCAATTACAATAATTTTAATTGATTTTAGTACAGATTAGTGTGAAATTTTATGAGACTGCACTTCCCACTGACCAAAATGCCTCCTTTATACTCGGTTGAGGAGGAAAAACTGATGGTGGATTATATAGTTGAGAAAAACAGGATTTACGATATTAAAGGTGATAGTCTTTGGAAAGAAATGGAGACAAAAAAAATAACAAAAAGGACATGGCAAAGCATGAAACAACGCTTCCGTAAACACATTATTTGGGAGATTCATTTTCCAAAATACGGACTTTCACCCCAAAAAGTCCAATTATTTCAACAATGTTTCCACCGTAATTCTGGGAGAACAGCACAAAAACCCACCACAGAAAAAGAATTCGATTTAATGAACAAATCCTCTTCAGAGGATTCCGATTAGGTTGATTTTATCGATCAATTATCACTTAATCGGAATCCTCTGAAGAGGGGATCCCACGAATTATTTAAGTTTGTTACTTATTTTATTTTTATCGTTATTTTTTTATAATAAAACACTGATTTCCTGTCAACTGTCACTTTTTTCAACTTAACCTAACTATTTTAAATTGAGTTATAGACCGTTTAGTTGTGTTTTTTTCACCTCAAGGTCTTCGTAAAATAGCGAGAAACGTTTAAAGGACTGGATTTCAGGCAAAAATACGCAAATTTTTGACAATTGGACTAAAATTTACAGGAATCTGCACTTGTCCTATAATAAATAAATCAAAACCAACACTTGTGCTTATCATATTATACCAAAAGAACGTATATTTAACACAATTGATTATTAATTAATATTTAAATCGAACAAAAACTAATAAAAAATCATTTTTCTGTCAAAATAGTGATTTTTTTGTTACCAACTGTCTTAGTAAAGTCACTATTTTTTTCTATTTTCTACCACATTAAAAATTCTAATTTTGTTAATTTATACACAAAACAACTCAAAATTTGTTGTGTTAAATAATTGTGCCCCAAATTGTGAGAAAATTCAAAGAAATAGAAAGTGAGGTTAGATTTAACGTCACCTCAAAGTGACCTAATTAATTACACAAATTTATTCTTATCACTGTTATCATAGTGACTGTGCAAAACAAAAACCAAACCAGTTTTTCAGATGGTCAGAAACATCCTGAAATTATCACAAAAAATGTCACAGGAAATCATCAACAAATTCCAACTTCCGGCCCGTTACGCAGGAAGTGAAAAAAGCGTGTGGTAATTAAAAAAACTAATCCAATTTAATTAATCGTAATTACTAATTAGGGTCGAGTACATTCAGTTGGCTGCGGATTACAAACCGTTGAATTTAGGGCAGGGATTCCCCGATTATCCGCCCCCTAAACACGTGACTGATGCTTTAGCCGACGTTGCCAAATCACCCAACTGTCTTCTCCACCAATACACGCGCGGTTATGTACAAATTTGAATTATGGCGCCAAAATTTTGACGTTTGTTTTTAGGGACATCCCCGGTTGGTGTCCGCCATTGCGAGGCTATACTCGCATTTGATTGGTCGCGAGATTAATCCACAGACTGAAGTTTTGACTACATTGGGGGCCTACGAGGCACTTTTTTCCACAATTGTGGGTCACGTGGACGTGGGGGATGAGGTTATAATAATTGAGCCGTTTTTCGATTGTTATGAACCTATGGTGAAGTGTGCGGGGGGACTCCCCCGGTTTATCCCCTTGCGATTGGTTAGTGTCAATGATTTGAATTTCGCGCTATAATTTGAATTTTAGCGCGAAAACGTGACCGGGGATTTACCGAGTTCAGCCGATTGGGTTTTGGATAAAAACGAGTTGGAGGGGTTATTCAACGATAAGACTAAAATTATCATTTTGAATACCCCCCACAACCCCTTGGGGAAGGTTTTCAAGATGGCGGAACTCGAATTAATTGCAAATTTGTGTAAAAAATGGAACGTTTTATGTATTTCAGACGAAGTTTACGAATGGATTGTTTATAAACCCAATAAACATGTCAGAATTGGTAATTATATACTTTGACCTTGAAAAAATAAATGTCAAAATTTTTTTAAGCAACGCTACCTGGGATGTGGGAACGCACAATTACGATTGGTTCAGCTGGTAAGACTTTTAGTGTCACGGGATGGAAACTGGGTTGGGCTTATGGCCCCGCCCATCTCATGGTCAACCTCCAAATGGTGCACCAGAATTGCGTCTATACGGGGAATACCCCGGTCCAAGTCCGATTGTCAAATTTAAATTTCCCGCTTTTTAATTTGTTTTAATCCAGGAGGCCGTTGCTGTCAGTTTCGAGAAAGAGATAGCGAGATTAGACAAAGACGAGTGTTATTTTAACTCAATTTCAAGCGAGTTGGCTGCGAAACGTGATTTTACATCGAAGTTTCTATGCGACGTCGGAATGAAGCCGACGATTCCCGAAGGCGGGTATTTCATGGTCGCTGATTGGTCGCCGTTAGGTACGCAAACACCTGATTGGTTGGTTTGATTTTGGCGCGGTTTTTTGACAGAGTCCAAAGTGGATTTAGCCACAGAGGGGGATAAATACAAGGATTATCGGTTTACGAAATGGATGACGAAACATGTGGGTTTACAGGGGATTCCCCCAACGGCTTTTTACAGTGAGCCGCATAAAAATCTAGCCGAGAATTTTGTGCGGTATTGTTTTTTCAAAAAAGATGAGAATTTGCAAAAAGCCGCCGAAATTTTGCGTAATTGGAAGTGTGGCAAGAATTAAATTGAGGTTTGAATAAAGAATTATTTTTTTGGTTAGAATTTTTACTTATTTTACATAAAATCCCGCCATAAAAAAACTGAAAAATGAATAAAAAATGTCTCAGAAATTCTATTTTTGAACATATTCACCAAATTCAGTTCAATTTTGTCAATAAAAACCCCAAAAAATGTCACAAAAAACTGCAAATTTTAAATATCCCGCCATTTCTAAAATTTTATCATCAAACAGATAGACTACAAATTTTGACGATTTATTAATTAACTCAAAATATGCACAAAATTCGATAAAATAATTACAAGATGTGTCAAAAATGCCTCTTAATAAGCAAAATGCTCAAATTCAATTCAACTTTATTAATAAAAACCCTAAAAAATAGTAAAATTCAAATTTCCCGCCATTAAAACAAATTACCTTAGAAGAAAAAACATAGATGGCACATTTCAATAATTTTTTTTAATCAACTCAAAATGGTGCAAAATTTGATCAAATAACCACAAAACGTGTCCAATATTCGATTTTATAAAAAAAATCGCCAAATTCAGTTCAATTCTATTAATAAAAACCCTAAAAAATGGCACAAAAAATGCAAATTTAAATTCCCCGCCTTTAAAAAGTACTACAGAAAAAAACAGATTTACAAATTTCAACTACTTATTTATTAATTCAAAATGGTAAAAAAATTAATGAAATAACTGCGAAACATGCTCAAAATTCGATTTTATAAGAAAAAACCCTAGAAAATATCATAAATGAATGCAAAATTTAAATTTCCCGCCATTAAAAAACTTAAAAATGAATAAAAAATGATTCAAAAAATCTATTTTTAAACAAATTCACCAAATTCAGTTCAATTTTGTCAACAAAAACCCTAAAAAATGTCACAGAAAATTGCAAATTTCAAATATACCGCCATTTCAAAAAATTTACCATAGAAGAAAAAACATTTTGACGATTTACACAAAATTAGATAAAATAGTGACAAAACGTCTCAAAAATGCCCTTTGATAAGCAAAATGCTCAAATTTAATTCAACTTTATTAATAAAAACCCTAAAAAATTGTAAGATTCAAAATTTTCCGTCATTAAAACATATTACCATAGAAGAAAAAACATAAATGGCACAGAACATTTTTTTTGAACAACTCAAAATGGTGCAAAATTCGATTGAGTAACCACAAAACTTCTCCAATATTTGATTTTGTAAAGAAAATCCCCAAATTCAGTTTAATTCTATTAATAAAAACCCTAAAAAAATAGCACAACTAAATGCAAATTCACATTTCCCGCCATTAAAAAATTTAAAAACGAATAAAAAAATGTCTCAAAAATCTTATTTTTAAACAAATTTACCTAATTCAGTCTAATTTTGTCAAAAAAACCCTAAAAAATATCATAAAAAGTTGCAAAATTTCAAATATCCCGCCGTTTCAAAAAAAATCCCATAGAAGAAAAAACATAGATAGACGAAATTTTGACGATTTTTTATCAAATCAATGTTCGTTGCCTAAGGAACCAAATTTAGCTTGTGTGAAAAATTCGTATCCCGCGTTGGCAAGGTAAATAAAAGTGTTATTTTCGTTTTGCTTTGTTATTTATTTCAATCAAAACGTTACAATAATAGACACTATTGGTACCCACAGTGCGATAAAAGCAAGACACGTCACTAAAATGACAAAAAAAAAGAAAACTGTAATAAAATCGACCCCAAACTCGGAGTAAAATTGCACACAAAAAACAATGTGTTAAAAACCTCTCATTTACACACAAATTGCATGAATAGGACAATAATAAATATGATATAATTAATTAAATTAATTAATTAATTAAAACGTAACACTCATACCTAAAACAGACGAGGAAACGTAATCTAAACCCATTTAAAAATCTCTCTCTAAATTCTAACAAAAAACATTTATATAAAATAGAAACTCTGATAAAATGCAACACTTCGTATATATGTACATTGCACGCCATCTTGGATCGAATCAGTCGAATAAATAAAATGGTCCCAGTGGAAAATTTTAAGGCACACGCTATATACAGCTAATTAAGTACAAAAATATTTGAGCCGCACTATATATATAAAATATAATAAACTTTGGTTTGTGGAATGTTGATGGAAGACATTTCTTTTTTTTGTACTCGATGCCTACTTGATTTGTTTGATCAGTTGCGGGTGTGTTCGGGCGACGATTGCTTGCAACTTTTGCAACTGGTTTAGTAAATTCGTATTTGAGTCTTCGAGACTCTCGATTTTGGTGCGATATTCGTTGTTTTCCGACACTAAAAGCTCCACTTTGCGCTCCAATTGGTCCATGTATTCCTTCTTTTTTCGACGGCTTTCCTGCGCCGAAATCTGAAAAAACAAAATTCAAATTTCCCGCCAATTTACAAGATTTAATATAGAAAAAAAATCAAGTTTCTTGGATTTCTTAATTGTGCAAAAGTCGATCAAATAATCCAAAAATTTGATTTTATAAGCAAAAATACTAGAAAATGTCATAAATGACTGCAAATTCAAATTTCCCGCCATTAAGAAACTTAAAAACGTGTCTAAAATTGTATTTTTTAAACAAATTCACCAAATTCAGTCCAATTTTGTCAACAAAAACCCTAAAAAATGATATAGAAAACTGCAAAATTCAAATATCCCGCCATTTGAAAAAATTTACCATAGAAGGAAAAAACATAGACGTCAAATTTTGACGATTTAATTATTTATTAACTCAAAATATGCACAAAATTCAATCAAATAACCACAAAACGTGTCAAGAATGGCCCTTTATAAGCACAATTTTCAAATTCAATTCAATTTTATTACCAAAAACTAAAAAATACAGTAAAAAAACTGTAAAATTCAAAATTCGCGCCATTAAAAAACGTGTCAAAAATCTATTTTTTAAGCAAATTTCGTTCAATTTTATCAACAAAAACATTAAAAAATGTTACAGAAAACTGCAAAATTCAAATATCCCGTCATTAAAAAAAATTACCACAGAAGAAAAAACATACATAGGCAAATTTTTACAATTTCTTAATTAACTCAAAATATGCACAAAATTCGAAGAAATGTCACAAACTCAAAATACGCAAAATTGTGCAAAATTTGATCAAGTAACCACAAAACGTGTCCAAAATTTGATTTTGTAAATAAAATTTCCACATTTAATTCAATTTTATAAACAAAAACCCTAAAAAATGAAAAATTTGATGAAATAACCGCGAAACATGCTAGAAATTCGATTTTCTACGCAAAAACCATAAAAAACATCATAAATAACTGCAAATTCTAATTTCCCGCAATTAAAAAACCTAAAAATGAACAAACAACATCTCAAAAAGTTTATTTTTTTAAACAAATTCACCAAATTCCGTTCAATTTTATCAACAAAAATCCCACAAAATGTCAAAAAACTGCAAAATTCAAATATATAAGTAGCCATTTCAAAAAATTACCATAGAAATAAAAACATAGATAGACGACAAATTTTGACGATTTATTAATTAACTCAAAATATGCACAAATAAAACAAAAAAATAAATAAAATAATCACAAAACGTGTCAAAAATGCCTCTTGATAAGCAAAATGCTGAAATTCAATTCAACTTTATTAATAAAAACCCTAAAAAATTGTAAAATTCAAAATTTCCCGCCATTAAAACAAATTGCCATAGAAAAAAAAAACATAGATGCCACATTTCAATAATTTTTTTAATTAACTGAAGCCTTAGAAAATATCACAAATGACTGCAAATTCAAATTTCCCGCTATTAAAAACTTAAATACGTATAAAAAATTCTATTTCGTAAACAAATTCACCAAATTCAGTTCAATTTTATCAACAAAAATCCTAAAAAATGTCCCAGAAAACTGCAAATTTCAAATATCCCGCCATTTCAAAAAAATTACCATAGAAGAAAAAATAGATAGCGATTTATTAATTAACTCAAAATACACAAAACTGTGCAAAATTCGATTAAATAACTACAAAACGTGCCAAAAAGTCTATTTTATATGCAAAATCCCTAAAATTGGTGCAATTTTATCAATAAAAACCCTAAAAAATAGTACAGAAACCACCCCAACCCTTTCTTGGTTATAAAAAAGATGTGACGTCACAGTATGACCTTTATTTTTTATGGATGATTTTTTTTATTTATTTATTTATTTATTTATTTTATTTATTTATTTTTTATTTATATATATATATTATTTATGATTTTATACAGGGTGATTGAAATTCAACTTGCCTTATTTTTGATTTTCCTCCGAATTTTCTTTAGGGACTTTTCTTCGGCTTTGGTGAGTGGTAGTCTTGTGGGTACTGGGTACCCCTCCGCGATTAGAGTCCTTTTCTCTTCATCTGTCAAAACTAGAGTCCCCGTCGACCCTTTCTGCAAAAAATCAGAAATTTTTATTGTCAAATTGTCAAAATTATGGTGGGGGGCGGTGCGACTCACCGGTTGGCTGCTGATCAAGGGGGTGTGTATCGGCTGTCGGGTCGCGTGACTCATAATCACTCTCGTATTGGTTTTGCGTACGTTGGGGGAGGGCGGTTGCGAGATGGTGGCGTTGTCTTCGCTGTCTTCGCTGCTGCTACAGGAGGGCGGAGTCGGGGGCAGATGGAAGGCGTGTCCTGGCTCGATTTTAATGTTCAATTTTGGCATGATGCGTTGAGGTATGACGTTATGTGGCGAACTGATGATGATGTTTGAGGAGGGTTTGAGTAGTGATTGGCTGGTTTTCTGCAAGTTTGTGGTTAGGTGTGTGCGGTGGAAGGTGGTGGGCGTGGTTACCATTTCGACGTCGAAATGCAATTCGCTGGTGTTCATGAAACTGGACTGCGGGGAGGAGGGGCATGAGGAGGAGTCGGTCTCGCTCAATGGCTCGTCTTTTATCGTTATTGTGTCTTTTTTCAGCGGCAGGGAGAAGCATTCGTCGTCCATTTCTGCAAAGAAAATTTTTTTTTTCATTGCCAATTTGGGAAACAAATTTTGTTGGGGGCAATTTTTTTTGACAATTCAGGAACCAAAATTTTGGCATAATTAGCAATTTTTATTGTTTTGACAAAAAGTAACAAGATTTTCAAAATTCGAAAAAAATATTGTTTTCCGCGTTGGCCACGAAAATTCACACAACGGTGGGAAAAACATTATTTTTTACATTTAAAATTCGAAAATGCTGTTTCATTGCCAATTTGGGAAACAAATTTTGTTGGGGATAATTTTATGAACAGATTTTGCTCTTTTTGCCAATTGAGGAACCGAAATTTGGCTAAAATTAAGTAATTTCTATTGTTTTGAAAACAACTAACAAGATTTTCGAAATTCGAAAAAAAAATTGTTTTCCGCGTTGGCCACAAGAATTCACACAACGGTGGGAAAAATATTATTTTTTACATTTAAAATTCGAAAATGCTGTTTTTCATTACCAGATTAAATTACGAAACAGTTTTTTATTTTGCCAATTGGGGATCGAAATTGCACAAAATTGTCAAAATTGGAAAAAGCCGGTTCAAAAAATTCGGAAAAAATTTGTTTCTCGCGTTGCAAAAAAATATTTTTTTTTAATTGCCACTTTGGGAAACAAATTTTGTGGGGATAATCTTATTAACAGATTTTGCTCTTTTTTGCCAATTTAGGAACCAAAATTGCCAAAATTTGGCTAAAATTAAGTAATTTCTATTGTCTTGACAAAAACTAATAAGATTTTCGAAAATCGAAAAAAAATTGTATTCCGCGTTGGCCACGAAAATTCACACAACGGTGCTTATTATTTAATCACTGTGGGAAAAAAATATTTTTTACATTTAAAATTTGAAAATGCTGTTTTTCATTGCTAAGTTAGGAAACAATTTTTTATTTTACTAATTGGGACATCAAAATTGCCTACAATTCATTAATTTGTGTTGTTTTGAGCCACAAAATTGTCAAAATTGAAAAAAACGTGTTTTTGAGCCGGTCCAAAAAATTCGGAAAAAATTTGTTTCCCGTGTTGCAAAAAAAATTTTTTTTCATTGCCAATTTGGGAAACAAATTTTGTTGAGAATAATTTTATGAACAGATTTTGTTCTTTTTGCTAGTTCAGGAACCAAAATTTGGCTAAAATTAAGTAATTTCTATTGTTTTGGCAAAAACTAACAAGATTTTCGAAATTCGGAAAAAAATTGTTTTCCGCGTTGGCCACGAAAATTCACACAACGGTGCTTATTTTAATCATTGTGGGAAAAACATTATTTTTTACATTTAAAATTCGAAATTGGTGTTTTTCATTGCCAAATTAGGAAACAATTTTTTTATTTTGCCAATTGGGGATCAAAATTCATTAATTTGCGTTGTTTTGAGCCACAGAATTGTCAAAATTGCAAAAATGTGTTTTTGGGACGGTCAAAAAAACCGAAAAAAAATTTGTTTCCCGCGTTGGCACCAAAAATTCACAACACATTTTTTTTATTTTGCCAATTGAGATATTAAAATTTGACCACAATTAATCAATTTACGTCGTTTTGAGCCACAATTCCAAAAATAATGTTCCCGAGTCGGCCAAAAAAAATCGAAAAAAATTTGTTTCCCGCGTTGGTCGCGAAAACTCGCACCCACCTTCAAGCTTATTATGCGATATGGGCGAGTCGGGTAACGAATCCCCATCCGAGGCCAAACTATACGAATGTTCTGTTTTGATGGGTCTTGTCCCAAGGGCCGCATCTGTCATAAGTCGATCATGGATTATAACCCCCGGCAAATCCTTGTCCATATAACTCCATTCCACGTCTCCGGCGGCGTTCAAACGTAGTACTTCCTGCATGGTCTGCTGTAAAAAAAATAAGTTATGCAACCAAACATACACGAGGGCTAGTCCCAAAGTTGGCCTTGGCCGCGGCCAATGTCAATGAAATCGACGGGACCCGTTACTAGACATTCCGATCGATGCTTAGCGAAAAATTCATCCAGTAGGCGGAGAAATCAATATAAAATTTGGCGCCAATTTCAAATTTTGACATCAAATATCCCCTTAACTTGGTGGAATTTTATAAAAAAAAATTGTTACTATTGGTAAAAAAATCCCAAAAAAGTTATCCAACTGTCTAAAATTGTTATACTGGGTGTTTGAAAAAAATATGTTTTTTTGTTTTTTTTTGTCGTTGAGTGAAAAACATCAAATATCCCCTTAACTTGGTGGAATTTTATAAAAAAAAATTGTTACTATTAGTAAAAAAATCCCAAAAAAGTTATCCAACTGTCTAAAATTGTTATACTGGGTGTTTGAAAAAAATATATGTTTTTTTGTTTTTTTCGTGTCGTGAGTGGAAAACAAGTGACGTAATCGACTTCCGGCGATAATTAAATGTCGCCGCCCCCGCAAGTGTTGTTTTTATCGCCGCCCCCGCCGACACGTGTTTCGTGTGCGAAAATTCATCATCAGTCCTTGGCCCCCGAGTCAACGTCCGGAATCTAGCCATAGATGACCGCTTTGATGGTCACGGCCATGGCGAAAAATCCTACCATTTGCAAGATGACACCGACCCATGATGGGCACTCCAGACGACGAACGAAGGGAGGGGAAAAATTTATTTACGGTTAGATTTGGGTGCGGACAAAAGGTCACAAAGTGTGAGTGTGTGAGAAAATTGAGGGAAAACACACACGAGGTGAATAATTGAGGAGGAATTTCGGTGGGTTGTTGCGTCATGGGTTTCACGTGCGGTGAGGTTGAGGTTGGCAATACTGATTCATAAGTTCATACTCCGATCAGTAATTTTTCGCACATTGATTAAATACTTGTCAATTTTTTTAAATTTATCATTTTGGCAATATTGATTAATTCTGAAAAAAATAAAGAAAAAATAAAATCCCCAAATTACGGGTACATTTTTGTCACTTTTGACGTATTTCGCAAGTTGAAATTCTGATTTCTGACTTATGTTGGTAACAATGTGGCTATTAGGTTGGTACTATTGATTAAAAACCTCAAATAAAACTATAGAAGTTGTTCCAGTTTTGGCATTTCTGGTCAAAATACTTAAAAGTAAAAGTCCCTAAGTTAATTAAAACTACATTTTTGTGTTGGTAGCATAGCCAACAAAAATTCCCCCAAAAAGATAATTGTTTTAAAAATCCCAACTCACTTCAAATTTTTTACAATTTTTATTTAATTTTTATTTCTAATAAAATCCCTAGAATTAATTGTGTTTACAAAAATTTTTGATTTTTGAGTAAATTATTGTTGTAAAAGTCCCTAAATTAATTAAAAGTACATTTTTTTGTCTTGGTAACTAACATACTCAATAAAAATTCCCCAAAAACATAATTAAAAAAAAATCAAATTCAGAAAACTAAAAAGTAAAAATTATATAGACTAAAAACACTAGAACTAATTATTTTTACAAAAAAGTTTGTGTTTTGACAAAATTATTGTCGTAAAAGTCCCTAAATTGATTAAAATTCCATTTCTTTGTGTTGGTAGCACCCAACAAAAAATAACTGTGTTAAAATTGATTTAAAAAATCAAATTAAAAAAACTAGGAAGTTACCATAAATATACAATTTTTTTCAATGTTGCCAATTATCATAAAAAAAACAAAAACGTTGT